CAGACGCATGCCATCAATTTGGTATAGAAATTTGTTGCTGTTGCTATTGTTATTGTAGTTGATTTTGCCTGCAGCCGTATTGTCCTTCCAGCAGTCATTACTGCTCGCCACGCCAACAAGCAGAGGAGCGTGAGTATGAGTACATATGAGTATGTATGTGTGTGTGCGTGTTTGTGGCTTTGTATAACTACATGCATATACTCGTATGTGTGTATGTGTGTGTGTACATGAAATATGCGCTTGTTGTGTGCCACTTATTTCACGCTCCCTTCCCACCGTCAGCGCTAGCAGTTACTACGCTTAGCCAACCATGTTTGGCATTTTGCCGTTACACGTCAATGTCAGCGCTTTGTGCAAGACATACTCCACACGTCAATACACGCCTGTGTCGCATGTCCTCACTTCCTGCCGCATTTCCTTCCTTGCTGCCTTCCGACTGTGCGAGTTGGTAAATATTTGTAATTTTATAAATTTTCAAATATTTTTTTTTTGTTTTGTGTTTTTGTTCTTGTCCGCAAGCGAAGAAGACAAGCGGTAAATTTGTTTCATAAGCGTATAGCACACGCTCGCACGCAGCTTCATTATGCTGCACCGGCAATGGTTGCTACATTTGTCCTTTGTGAAGGTTGCTCCCTTTCAGCTCATGTGCGCTGCCGAGACATCCAAGCAACGCTTAACACGCTCACTCGCTCGGCAAGTAGTTTCGCCCAAATGGGAGTTTGCTTCTCTTAGATTAGCATATTTTTTGTTAGGTTCCTTAGTTTGTCCTTAAATGTCTTGTTTGTGTCACCTTCAGCTTTGCCATTTTTTGTGTTTCCATTTTTATTTCTATTTATTTTGAATTTTCTTATCTACACATCCCTTGGCCTGGCATGTCTGGAAGATTTATGCGTTTTTATTTATAACAGACATGAAATTTATGTAATTCAAATCTTAGGGGCATTAGGAAACCGGTGGGATTGTGAGAAATAGGGTGATACAGAGTAGAAGAGACTTAGCAGCGGGCACTAAGGTGCATAGGACTAGGTTTGAAATAATTTTGTTTTATTTCTATTTACGGAAATTGAAATGTGAGATTTTTTTATTAATTCCCAGTTAAAACTTTTGAAGAAAAAAATCCACACGAGTCTAAAAAGTTTGATTCTAAGTGATTTATTCGGCAATTTCGTACAGATCTCTCTTTCTTTTTGGTGGCAACAAACCCAAAGTTATAAACCTGATACCCTGTCGGGGTATATTCATGGCACTTATACTCCCTATGGCCTTCTTTTTTTAGATATTGCAAAGCCATATAATTTTTCATGAATCAACTGCACTTGAGGCCCATTGTGGTCTCTTTCACACTTGATCTTCGTTGTGATTGTGATAACAATTTTTTTTTATGCAGTTACACGGGGTCTTCTCATCAGAGGCGTTATTTTGATACTCAAAGGAAAATAAGGTTTTTTGCTAAAAGAAGATATGCCACTAATAATGGTAAGCAATATCAGCCAAACCGTATCCTTTTAATGAAAATTTCCCTCACCCAATCGTAAAATGGCTGATGTATGCCCTGAATAGCTTCACGAATTCCACCTTTTGAGGTCTTGAGGTCGACTTTGGAGTTTAAGGCGTAGACCTTAACTGTAACGTGGCTCCAAAGGCCAGCCTTTCGACAAAGTAATGTCCAAAGACCTCGCCAGACCTTAAACCACAACAAACCGTTACACATTGTGGATGGAGAGGATTTTCAACAACATATCTGAGTTATCCGAACCCCAAAGGTGATAATTTTGCCTCTTCACTTAGCCATCGAGATGGAAATTGATTTGCCTCATTAGTCGCGATTATTTTTCGATGAAATTACGATTAATTTTCAGGCATATCAAGGACCCAATCAGCAAAATTTCGACGTTTTTGATGTTCGGCTGGCTTTAATTATTGTATCAACTGAACTTTATAAGCCTTAAAACTAAAAACTTTTTGCAAACTACGGTAATGTGTCGTTTCTAGAATGCAACATTCCAAAGGACTACGGGAGATGGACAAATCGGGGTGTTCTTCAACATTTTGAGCAACAGCAGCAATGTTCTCAGTTATTCTTGAGCAAAAGCTCTTTTTTCTACCAATTTCTGTGCTGTGGTTCGACAATGTGCTTTTCGATGATTGAGATTTATTTTAGTTTTACGAACCGTCTCTGCCAGGTTTTCACTATTTTTATAGTGAATTTTTTTCAATTTCAATGTCTTGTTGAAACGTGTTTCGTTCCATTTTTATCTCTAGCGAAGTTTTTATAATTTAAAGGTCAAAAAATTATAGCTTCATTAGCGACATCTACCGGAATTGCAGGGTATTTAATGAATGAGTGAATAAATAGATCAGACTCTAGGCCATAATCTGTTAGTGCTCAGCGTTTTGTACATAGAGGTTGATCTCTCTTGATGGGCATAATCAGCAGGAGCTGCAGTCTCTTGTGGTTAAAAACCCGAAACGCCTGCTCCTATTTGCAATAGCAATGTTTTTCAAACTAGAGACACAACAGAAAGTGTAGCTGGAAATAATCTAATTCGCATTACATCATGCATCTGGTAACTCTACGGATGTAGTATCGCCTATGTGAGACTCTCTTGGGAGTAACTCAATTAACACTTCAAAGACCTTTCTGTAAACATAACTATAAATCAATAAACAGCACATTATACTTTTAAAATTTCCATTATTTTAACCACCTATGAACAATATCCGCGATATATTTTAATTTCCCATCAATGAGGGACAGTCAGAGAGGAGTAGAGAGTTAATTAACTAATTAAGAGGCCAAATAATGGCATAGCACTCAGGTTCATCATCGCCATCAGTGCAGTGCAGAGTAAATCTCATTGCCTTTGAACGAGCTTTGGCAATATTTACCGTTAACGCTGCTGATGCGCTGCAGCAAGTGGATAGCAACAGCATAATATTAGCATCATCAACGCCGGAATTAGTTAGTTTATATGGGTGAGTGGTAACGACGAGGTTGGTGTCAGCGAGGTTAATATTTATACCTAAATATATTTTCATGAATTTATGCTGGTCTATACACTTACGGGTATAAGTATGAACATTATAAATTTTTATTAATGAAATGCATTTATTCTATTTTGCTTTAATTTATGTTATTTTATTTGAATTTAATTTATTTTATTTCATCTCATTTTGAATTAGTTTATATAACTTTATTCTATTTTATTTTATTTTGCTTGTTTTTAATTCATTTTTTTTAATTTTATTTTATTTTACTGCATTTTATCTTATGTTATTTTATTTTTTTTATTTCAATTTTAATTACTTTTATTATATTATTTTGTTATTTATTGTATTTTTTTTAATTTAACATTATTTTATTCTATTTTATTTCATTATATTTTAATTTTACTTTATTTTATTTTTATTTATTTTATTTACTTATTTACTTTACAGACGCAGTCACCGCTTACACTTCATTTTATTTTATTTTATTTTTTTTATTTTATTTTATTTTATTTTATTTTATTTTATTTTATTTTATTTTATTTTATTTTATTTTATTTTATTTTATTTTATTTTATTTTATTTAATTTAATTTATTTTATTTTATTTTATTTTATTTAATTTAATTTAATTTAATTTAATTTAATTTAATTTTATTTTATTTTGTTTTATTTTATTTTATATTATATTATTTTATTATATTTTATTTTATTTTATTTTATCATATTACGTTTGATTTTATTTTGTCTTATATTATATTAATTTATGTTACTTTAATTTTATTTAGTTTATTTGATTTCATCCTTTTTTTTATGTTATTCTATTTATTAATTTTATTTTATTTTAAATTATTCAATTTTGTTTTGCTTTATACTAGTTTATATTGTTAAGGAAATGGAAATGTATCTTTAGCTTTGTTTGCTAGTGTATAATTTTACTTATGTATGTATGCAAAATGAAATTGCTTATTAGCACAAGCTGCCACGGCCACTTTTGCTCTCATTTGGCATGCTGCAGTGGCTCCAGCCACTTGTCCTTGCCCGCTCATCACTACAGCACTACAGTATCTTTGAATGAAGGTGCATGGTGGTTAAACCACTCAAACTTATTCCAAAACGTACTAGTTAATAACTAGTGTTTTGAGGACTAAAAATGCACTGGACTGAAGAATAGTAAACTGTTACTTAGTTAAATAAAGCAGTCTATTTTCTATTTAGTCCAATTCTAATTTCTATAAAAAAATTGTTTATTTCCAAAATTTTTCGAGGCTTTTGAATAAATTGGTGTTAAAAATGTGTGTGAAAATAATTATTTTTATGTAATTATTTTACGTTAATTTTATTTTTTTTAATAAAAGTAACTATTCACTTTTCCATACATTTTGAGCCAGTAGAACTGGTAGATTTTTGATTGAAATTGTCAACGAAATTAACAAGTGATGACAATTGCTTCCATAGAAAACCCCAAATTGCAGACCAGTCCAACTTGCGTAGCAGACTAGCTTTTTAGTAGTGGTCAAGTAGTTTACTTCTCTATATGGTATCTATAAAATAGTCCAACGTTGTTTAGCGCCCCAGCTGTGAAGTACGTATTTGCACACTTTCCACCGCCTGCAGCTGTTGCCAAAAGTGGCGCGCTTATGCGGGACAATATTGAAGTTTACATAAAAACGGAAGAACCAAAGCTGTACGCACACAGGCTAATACATGTGCATGTATGTATATAAGAGTATACTACCAGTAGGGCTGGCTGCTTTAGACACTCACTGTGGCGGCGGAGAGAGTGCTTGCACTAATCTATATGCCCAAATCTCGGCATCTAAAAATTTACCACTACACTTGGGTAAACCAAAAAACAAAAAGCACCACGACGACGACCGATTTGACGTTGGACTCCGCTTGTGTCATCATCATCATCACCAACATCAATGCTTTGCACAGATTTTTATTTAAGTTACGTACGAGTATGTATGTATATGTGTATGTGCCAGTATAACTGTTTGCATCACTTACCCTTATGACCTCGGGACATGCATAATGCGGCGATCCACATGAGGTTTCCAACATCGAACCAGCCGGTTGCAGTGAAGCCATACCAAAATCGGCAATTTTGATGTTGTTCTTTTCGTCCAATAGCAAATTTTCGGGTTTCAAATCTCGATGACTGCAATGATATGAAGTAATAAAAGAGAGAGAAAGAGAGGTGGAGAGAGAGAGAGAGGTAGGTGTTGAAAACTTTATAATGTATTTGTATGTATGTGTAAGTACTTAAGGAAAAACATAAGAGCTCATATGTGTTCATTTATTTACATGTAGTGTTATATTTGCATTTGTATGCATGTAAGTAGATTTTGGTAGAAGATTAGGCGGCAAAGTTATTTAATGCCTGACGACCTGGTAAATTGGCTAAGCCGGCAAGTTTTGTTGGCAAAGTCAATGAGTGTTAAAACCTTGTCCGCTTGGGAGCTTCTTGTCTTTTCTTTGACGTAAGAACTTAAATTAAAGCATTGAAAACTATAAAATTCATGGCATCTAAATTAATAAATTGAATATTGAGTACTCATGTTGAGAAACAGGTACACTTGGAAGGCTGCCCAATGAGTTAAGGCTTTGCCACGGAATTTAATAATTAAAAATTCACTAATATATTTTAGCAGATTTAAAGAAAATTTTAAACTCATTCCAACTTTCGCTTACCATATTGAATGTGAATGGCAAAAATCCAACGCAGAGATTATTTGACGGAAAAATTTACGTGCCTCCTTCGGCGTCAGTCGTCCTTTCTTTACTAAATAATCAAATAATTCACCGCCGGAGACGTGTTCTAATATTAAATATAAATATTTTTTATTCTCATACACATCGCTCAAGCCCAAGACGTGTGGATGGTCGATCAATTTCATAATAGCAATTTCACGTTCAACCTAAAAACAGATGAGAATAGAGGGAGAAGGAAATATTATTGCGGAGAGTCAATTTTGAAAAAGATATTGATATTAATATCTTATGTACATAATAATAACGTGACAGGCGATTAAGCATTTTTTAGAAGCACCTAGTCAGCAGAAAATGTCTTTTAATTCTGGCATGACAGAGTCGAAATTACTTTAAAAATTAAATAAAAATTTTAGTAACATAGAATCGAATCAGAGTAAATTAACTAAAATAAAATAGAGTTAAAATTAAAAATAAAAATAGTCAAATATAAAATAAATCACTACCAAATTAGCAACAAAAAATTAAAGTAAATTACAGTGAATTAAATAATACAATAACAGCAAATAAATATAACATAAAGTAAAATAAAATTAAAATAATTTACACTAAATAAAATAAAATAAATCAAAATAAATTAAAATAATATAAAATAAAATAAAATTAAATAAAATAAAATAAAATAAAATAAAATAAAATAAAATAAAATAAAATAAAATAAAATAAAATAAATTTAAAAAAAGTAAAATAAAATAAGAAAATTAAAATGAAAAGAAGGAAAGTAAACAAATGCAAAATAAATATTTAAAAAAAGTTAGTAAAAGCTAATTAATAGATGACATTAAACTTAAACATATTCATATTTGCTTGTAACTTATATATGCAGCTTTCCATTCACTTATGTTACGACTTAATAATACTCGTAAGCTCACAACATTAATTTCATTATGCATTTAAAATATATATTTACTCAATACTTATAATAACTGTGATTTTCACTGGAGAGCAGCTTGTGCTCGATACTCAAGCAAGTTTTAATTAGCGCACTCATTTACATTATTCCACAAATCTCTAATGACCTCCAAATATGCTGGTAATTATTTCATTGTGCTGCTCAAGGGGGAAGTAGCCTATTTTCAGGCTCATTTAATACAATTTATATTTGTTTAAATGACGTACATAGACTTACAATTTGCATTTAAAATGGTATAACGTGTAAATGGCTGGAATGTTACATATATGTCTGTGTGCATTTATAAATATTTACAAAGCAATTTATATATATATATATATATATGAATATATATGAATATGTGTATGTGAACTTGGTTGCACTTACGAATTGAATAAGTTGGTTTGAAAATTTCGTGTTAATACTATCAATTTGGGCTTGGGAACATTAAAAAAAAATATATGTAAGTGTTTTCCAATGTAATGACATTTTCAAAAAAAAAAAATATTATATTGGTAAGATATGCAAAAAAACTTTCTCCCAAGTTTTCGACCACTTTTTGTATCATCACAATCACTAGCTAATAGCAGATATTAATTAAATAATTTTCGACTGAATAATATTATTTAAGGAAATTTATCTGCTATATAAACTGCACGTTTGGTAACAAAATCAAAGTTGTCATACTAACAACTCCTTCCGGTGAAAGTTTACAGAGCACAATGAAATTATTCAAATACTTACTTTTAGTTAATGACTCAAATACAACGAAAAAATGAACTACAACGTGACCTAAATAATTACTGTTGATAAGTATTTTAATAAAATTTTTATCTGTTTTTTATTTCTTTAATTTTTTATCTTGTTTTTTCTTTGTTGCACAAAAGAACATAACCTCCTAGACGGAGCTGTTAAAAAAATGTCATGAGAGAAAAAAATATCGGAAGTCAGTTCTACTCAGCTTGCTAAATAAGCCATTTTTAAATTGAGCGTGAAAGGTCATTAACCGCAAGTACGTAACTATTACCGGTTACAAAAATAAATAAAAAAAACAGAAAACAGAAAACAAACAAACAAATATATTAGCCAAATTAAAGCTCGCCTCCCACACGATTTTTTTCTATTTTAGTTATTTTTTTTATTTGCTTCAGCTTTTGTTTACCCCCATTTTTATTATACTCAATTCCTGTTAGTGAACTATGTAGTCGAGGAAAACACGTGTCACTAATGAAAATTTATATCCGTTTCGCATACAAGCAATCCCTCCACAACTAGCATACATACATATATATGTATATAGTGAGTGCGCATTAAAAACAAAAGCACAAGTTAGAGAATGCAGACAAAGCGAAAATTTAAAAAAAAAAATGTAAGAAAAACAAATATTTAATATTAAACCGAAAATAAGCAAAAATGAAGGTTTCAATAGTGTGGTATAGATGCACATACAAACATATATATAATATATATATATATGTCGTGCGCGCAGTATACCCTTGAGAATAGTAACAAAAGCTGTAGGCTTTTGGGCGCAAAACACAAGGAAAAAAAGAATTGTTTTTATTACACAAATGCATATTATAGGCAATATATGCACATATATGTGTATACACGTATATATATGTCTATATATTCTGCTTGCATTGTTTGTTCATCTAAAAAATGAACATAAAAGCCAAACAATGTATAAACGATAATCGAAAAACTAGCCAAACTAAAAAATATTTGTTAAAAATATATATACGTATGTACACATATTCCCAGCAGACGTACAACCAAGTCAAGGGTGTGCATACAAACATGTGTACATGTATGTACATATTTGTCTATGTGTTTGTTTTGTATGAGTTAGGGCTAAATATACAGTTCGCGTGCGGCTGTCGATTGGGAGGGACATGGAAATTTTCGATATTTTTTTTCGCTTTTTTTTCCTTATTTTTGGGTTTCTTTTTTTATATTTCAGATAAAATGAAAAAAAAAAACAACAGCTCATAATGAAATTGAACATATGTAGCTAGCAATTGAATGAATACTTTTGAATTAGTGAACATTTCGGGCATATTTTTTTCCCCTCGGTGTGACGAAGCGAATGAAAAAGCAGAGGAAAATGTGTTTTGAGCTGAAGAATGCTGAAATGCAGTATATCAAAAAATAGAAATCGAAAAAAGGGTTTGCTTTTAAATAGGCAATCAGTCGATTTACTACAAATTATTTAATTTTTTTAAAAAAGAACATTTCACTCCAATTATGTGTGATGAAATTCAAAATCCAATTGGCAACTTAAGTCACTTATTGCGTCAGTAGACGATGACCTAATATTCGCTGAAGGGCAACTAATAATCTGTATGCATCGAGCTCCTGTGTTCGGAAGACAAAACGCCCGATGACTAGATTTTCAGTTCACTAAATTCTTATACGTGCAAAATTATCGTACGCTGAGTTTCTCAGATTGTAACAGGCGAAAGACATACTTCCAGTGTTCTAGATGGGCGTACATATCGGGGACTTGCGATTTAAGGCTTCAAGAATTTAATCTGTCGCAAGAGGCGACTAAAATCGAGAAGTTCTCGTGACTAAAGCGTTTTTATATTTGGAACAACTCGGTTTTTGATCCGGTTTTTTGCAAGTGAACAGCTGTAGAAGACACAATTTGAATTCCGGAATTCCACTTAAAAATGCGGCGACATATGAAAAGTTTCAAAAACGGAGCATACCCTGATAAGACCACAAGAGGTGCTTTACCTTCTGGTTCCCGGATTATACTGAATTTATGAAGAGAAAAATTATTCAGACAGCTTAATAGTATTGGATATGGAACACTGCAGTACTGTTTCGGGATCGCCAGATTCAACAATCAATGATGGAGCCACAGCTGTTTCATTACCCGGCTATGAAGAACTTGAAAATGCTATTGCACTGCTGTATAATAACAAAGGTGTCCGCGGCCAATGGATTACCGCCTGAACTATTTAAATACGATGACGAAGAACTCTTCTTCTTCTTAATAGGTGGTTCCATACAGAATTTGATAGGTCGAAAGCATGTCGTACGATTGCAACTTTGCCCTAAGGAAGACCCTACAGTCTGCTATCATGAGATAAACCTCCTCAATATCGCATTTGGTTGCTTGGATGGTGAGTTGAAAGGCTTCTAAGCCATAGACAGAGTAGGCTAATTGGGCTCATGCGCACAATCGTATTTAAGGTCTTCGCACGCTGTATGTAAGAGTAAAGCTTACCATCCATCAGCTGATCGGGTCCAATCAGTGTAGCTTTGGGTGAATTCATCTTCGAGCAAAAATTATGGATGTCCTTTTACTTGACATAATAAAGTCACCACACGTCGAATTATGGAAAAGACCCATGAACAAAGGTCCGACTTACATTAACTCTGCATTGATTGTACTGCTGCCGTCGATCACATAAAAAATACACGTACCTGCCTCTATGCCGTATTGTCTGAATTTAGCAGCCGTTATAACTTCGATGTCGTCGATATATTCGTCTATCTAGGGGACCAGCTTAAATATCAATAACAATGTCAGCCTTGAAATCTGACGCAAATGCCGCAGCCGAGGAGGCTGATATCCTTGACGGCAAGTCGGCTTTGAATATTTTTTTTTTTTGCTTGCACAAGAGTTTTCTAAACAAAAACAAATTTCTGCTGATATTTGGTAGGAAAACAGAATATATCCACAAATCTCAATCAGACTTTAAGTGCTTGAAATGAAATCCAAATTGATTATCTTATAGAGACAAGCTAAATTATTTTCTTTTCCGAGCTGCAAATGTGGCAAGTAATTAAAAATAGCTGTTAATATACCAAAATATTCGTAAGAATAATTTGCGAAAGTAATAGTACAAAGGAATGCGAAAATAAATGAATATTACATAAAATACATACGGTCAAGGACGAGCGTACTCAACTTGCAAGAACTTGAATTATTTTTGTTAAAAATTACAAAAAAAAAAAAATATAATATATTGACTTGCTTGATCGTTTTCGCTGATGACCTCTACCTTCTTTATTACACATATACATGTAGATCATAAATTAAATAGTCCATTATGCCGGCATGGCGTATACGTGACATTAATTTGGCAACATTTCCCTCCAAGCAATGTTCATAAGACAACAACACTACGTTTACATATTGCTTTCGTGTTACTAAAAATAACGGTGAATTGTAGACACTTTTGCGTGTCTATCTGCGCTAATGACTTATATCGTTTACATTATACTATGTACATATTCATATATATATATATATATATATATATGGAAGTGTATGCAGTTGACGTCTAACGCATACTCACTGCTTTTAGGCGCACAGTTACATTTAACTATATATGTATTGTATATATATGTGTAATAAATATACTTCCATATCGCTCGTTTATCTATTTTCTATTATTTAGCTTCTACTTTCTTCTTCTTCGGCTTCATGCTGCTGCTTTTAAGTTGTGTACTCACCTTCATTAACACCGATTCGCTGAGCTTTTCACGATTGATTATTTTAATGGCCACCTTACGACCGAGCACACAGTGCACGCCCAACTTAACCAGGCCTGGAATGAAATGAAATCATATTTATTTAGTTAGCAACTGTGTTTCATTGCAGAGAACAAATTTAAAGAATTCTACGAAAATTTCTACGAGTACATGAAAAGCTATTTTGTTGGCAATATTTACAAGTTTATTCGAACTAAAACAGTTTTCTTTATATTTTTTATGAAATTTGTTTTAAAATACCAACAGGAAAGTAAGAAAATTCTAGTGAATGTGTAAAAAAAATATTTTTATTTACAGTCAAAAACGAAGGTGGAATTTTAGATTTGTTGGCAGATGTGGAACGCTTCCAATGAAATAACTAATCGCTACAAGAACTGCCACAACGTGCAGCTGGAGCCATTTATTTTCCAAGACCTTTTACTATTTTCCGGGTAGCTTCATGGCAGAAGAACTCCTATGACATAAACGAAAAGATCTTGGGCAAATGAATTTCCACGATACTTCGGTCGATCACTTTTTAACAATGCGGTGAGCTTGGCAGAAACCGAAAGAACTTGTACTGGGTTTTCCAATAAGAGGCGCTATTTCGATATTCAAAGAAAAATAGCATTTTTTTAGATAAACGATCGAATGTTCATTTCAATAAAAAGAAGAAGAAGACATGCTAGCCAAATGACCGCCAGAACAATGTTTACAGGGCTGTAACCATGTTATGAAATTTTCCATCAACAAATCGGTTAGTGGCAGTTGAATAATGCCATCAACAGCTTCACAAAATCCATCTTTGAAGTTTTGGATCGACGTTGGACTGTGATAGAGGTGATAGATCTGACGGCCTGACTGACCTTATTGTCAATATGACCAAAATTAAGTCTCTTTGCCCATAAGGGCTTCAGTATACTTGCTTTCTGAATATGCCTCGCATTTGGTGTTGTTATGGAAAAAGACAGGACCTTTGTATAGCTAGAGGTGGAATTTCACGAAAATTCGATTCCCATCCCCCCAATGTAACTTTTCTTGCTGTTACTTCAGGTATAATAGAGACTCGCCGGCCTTTAACCATGCGTTTTTTGCCTTTTATATGCTCGTGAGTAACCATTTTCCATCACTCGGAATGAGTCGCTTCAAAAATTATGCTATTGCGATACTACGGTGTTCACCCGATCACTCAGCTTCACTATCCATTCACTTCGATTCCATTATAAATTTTAGTAAATAATTTAACCTGAGGTCTGTTATCAAATACGATTCATTGATATGGGAATTTAGCTCTGCTCAAGGCGGCATATAGCAGATGAGAGACCATTTCTTGTTCTTCAAAATTCTTGCAACTTCTAGAGCATTTCTGGAAGGAAACTCGCAGCCTCGCCGCATGTAGTCCTATCAAGCAGTGGGGCCTGCCAAGACTCCTGTAACCTTGTAGTTGATTTTTTATGAAGGAGCATAGTTCACCTGACATGTCTTTGTTCCTTTTTGGACAAGTTTATACAGAGATTATGCAGGTAGCAATGTGGTTCCTTCTCAATTGCTAACCTCATAAGTAAAGTCACTGTGGCAAAAGATATGCCAATGCATTGTTTGTCTGAAAAATTCTGCTTGGTCGCGCCTCGCTTGTCAAGTTCATATATTTTATTTATTTCCCTCTATGTATTTGTGTCTAGTAAAACAAATGGGAGATTATTGGTTCTGTTTGGTCTTCTCTTGCAGAGATCGGCGACAGTCCAACACAGTTTTTGAACTCGTTGTTAGCTAGCCAAGCGAAAATTGCTTAATAATTATCGAAATTGAGTGCCTCATAAAAAATTTTAAGAAATAAAAATTCAGCAGAAACACAACAACAAACTTCATTATAGTTTAATTTAAATTCTATTCAATTTTTTGTAAAAGATGTCAATTTTTTTGACTTTTTACTGCAAGAAACTATTGAAATTGTGCTTAGAAAATTTTAAGGAAATCTTCAGAATTTCAAATAATCTTTTCTTTATAAACATTTTTATTTTTTAAATGAAATAAATGTGTTTCAGGTAAACTACTGTGTTCGTGCCAATATATTAAGAATTGTTTGATGACATTTAAAGTAAAATTTCGAAGGAAGCATGGCCTATTGCTCTTCAATGTGATACAAAATTTGCTTAAATTTGCATCATAAAAAATTTTGACAAATAAAAAAAAAAAAAAAAATTTTTTTGAGAAAAAATTAAAAAAAAAAATTTTAAAAAATTATTTAAAAAAAATTTGAAAAACAATTTTAATAAAAATAGACATTTTGTAGCATGAAAGTATTGAAATTAGAAAATGTTAAAGAAACCTTCAGAATCTCAAATAATTTTTTTATTTGCTTAAACTTGCATCATAAAAAAAATTGGAGAAATAAATTAAAAAAAAAAAAAATTGAGAAAAATAATTTGAAAAAAAAAAAAATTTGAAAAAAAAAATTTGAAAAAATATTTGAATGATAAATTGTGAAAAAAAATTGTAGAAATACTTTTTGAAAAAAAAAAATGAGAACAAAAATTGAGAGAAAAAAATTTAAAAATGGTTTTGAGAAATAAAACTTTGAAAAAACAAAATTTGAAGAAATCTTCTTGGAAAAAAAATTACAAAAATAGTATTTTCCGCTTGGATTTTAAGGCAATATACTTAAGAAAGATATTCATATCTTCTCAAAACTTATAAATCTTGAGTTATGCTATTTGAAAACTGTGCAGAACATAGGGCACACGAAATGAAAAATATTTGCGTTATTTTTCACTTTTCAAGCATCACTACACAGGCAATCGAAATTTATGGAGCTACAACAATAATCGATTGTTAGCACAATTTTTCAAACTCACTCGCCAGCCAACATCAATAACACTGTAATATATCATGACAAATACATACATACCTATATATGCGCGTCGCTATATGAAGCACACGCCAATACCACGACCACTTCACAACAGACTTATGTAGATATAGACATATATATGTATATTTATACAAAAGTACATATATATATCTATCTGCATATATGTATGTGTGTATTTAATAGACTTAGAGTTGGGTATTTTTACACTTCACCGCATGTGTGCTTACATAAATCGCACGCTAACTGTGCCGCCCAAACAACTCATTCACATACTGGGCCTCGCTTGCCCTAACCAACCAATTATAGCTTTTATATTTATATTGTTTCTCAAACTAAACTCAACTCGACACAACAAAAAAAAAAAAAAAATCAAAAGAATGAAGAAGAAGAAAACCAAACTTACCCGTTTGTCCTTTGCCCAGCGTCTTCTCCAGACGATATGGCCCCACAAATTGGCAATTTTCCGCTGTCGTATTATTTTCCTTCTGCATCTTGTTACCGTTACTTTTTGCTGTCGTCGCAATTGCTGTTGTTGTTTTTGTTTTTCACAGTAATCCAGTTTTCGCTTTGTTGTCTTTGGTTGTTGCTGATTTCGTATGCCGCCTAACCGTATTTGCTGTTTCGCTGTTGCTTTTGCATCGACTACTTGGGGTGCTTCTTCCTCTTCTTCTGCTGCTGCTACTACACTACTACAGTGGCAATGATACGCTGAAATTTCCATATACACACACACACATACACACACACCTGAGCGCACAACTTCTTCACAACTCTTTATGTACGTGCTTTCTGCACTATCTCTCTTTTTCGCTTTCTCTATACACTTTGGCTTCGTCCTCTTTGCTTGCGGCGGCACGTTGCTTTTACTTAAAGCAAATTCAATGATTTTTCAAATATTTTTTAAACTCACTTTTTGTGAGTAATTTTTGTTTTTCTTCCTGCAAATGGCAAACACTTTCAAGTGCACACTTGGCTGTGTGTGTTGTTTGACTGTTTGTCGGTGTGTTTACGCGCAAAATAACGGTACACAATGTATGTGGGTTAAAGTTCGTTTTTAATTACTTTTTCACTGCAGCGCAGTTCACATGAAAATGTGCTTACTTTTATTGCCACTAGTGTTGTTGTTGCTGTTACTGTTGTTGTTGTTGTTGTTGTTGTTGTTGGTGTTCAGTTATTGCATATCGTTTCTGGGGTTTTATTGGCTTTTCCTCTTTCATTTCCGTACTTAAATTCAAGCAGTTATACCGGCTGGTTGCATTGCCGCTTTGAATTTTCTCACTGCAGCGCTGCTGAGCTTTCACACAATCGTCGTATTAATTGGTTTTGTGGAGAAAAATATTGGTTTCAAATAGAAGCTGCTTTCGGCTGGTTTCATTTTTCCTTACTTCAACTGCAAAAGAGAACTTGAAAAAAGAAAACAACAAAAATTATTATTGATTAGTTAAGTGCTGCAGTCTGTGCTTTTAACTTTTAATTGGTGGGGCATTTCGTGTGCATAAAATATTTTTTATGCTCCTTAACGGTATATGGCTTAGTAAAGGATATTTTGTGATATATTCTATTGTCATACACCACATTGTTGAACATTTCAAAATAGTTACAGAAAAGTAAAAAGTTTTCCAATAAGAGCTTTTATTTTGATTAGCGCGTAATTCCGGTAGATGTCGCTTTTGAAGCTGTAATTTTTCGCCATTTGGTACAAGGAACAAAAAACGCTTCAACAACGTATTGAAATCATTCAAATTCACGCTTTCGCTATTCACATTTTTTTATATTTGCTTGCTTGGAGTCAATTACTATATGAAGCCGACGAAATGAAAAAAGTTACCGCAGTTTATTAAAAAGTTGCATAATTTGTATGTTGATAAGGCCTTACATGAAAAACATAGTGTCAAAGTTGGTTTGTCTAATTCCTTTCGGCAGATTTTTCACTCAAAGATAAGCCTCTCTCAGTTCGCCCAAGTGAAGCAGAAGATAACAATATCAAGGCTTTAATCGAAACGGATCGTCATGTAACTGAGCATGAGATTGGAGTGAAGTTAAATATACCAAAATCAACCGTTAATAATCATATACGACGTTTTGGATTGGTAAAAAAAACTTGATATTTGGTTACCACATGAATTGCAAGAAACTCCACGATTGCCATATGCATCTTAAATGCCATGGATATGACGCTTTTTTGAAACAAATCATAACTGGACATGAAAAATGGGTTCTTTACAATAACGTCAATTGAAAATGTTTATGGTCCAAGCATGTTGAAGTGCCTCAAACCACTTCAAAGGCAGATATTCACATGCAGAAGATTATCCTATCCGTTTGGTGAAATTGAAAGGTTGTGGTATATTTTGAGCTGCTTCCAAGGAACCAAACGATTAATTCGAATGTCTACTGTTAACAACTGGACAACATATTAAATGCATCCATAAACGAGAAGCGCTCATAATTGGTCAATCGTAAAGGTGTCATATTCCACCAGGACAGGCCGCACACATTTCTTTGATCACTCGCCAAACACTGAGAGAGCTCGGCTGGGAGCTGTCAACACATTTGCGGAACTTATTTAATGGTAAAACATACGAAAATGATTAGGCCATAAAATCACATTTGGTGCAATTATTTTGCCGATAAAGCTCAGAGGTTCTATGGGTGTGGAATAATGGTGTTGCCCGAAAAATGGAAATTACACAATTGCTTAAAGTTCATTATAAAATTTAAAAAAATTTATTTAATTTAATTTTTAAAAAATCACCGGCAATAAGTGTGACGTATTTACAGTTTTACTTCCTGACTTTAATTCTCCTGCCATTATTTGATGAAACGTTTTCGTTTTTCGTGCCTTTCTAGGTCATTTATCATAGCATAATATGGTTGTGTCATGCTTCAATATGGATATTTGAACCTTTCGGCTTACTGGAATATAGTATATAATGCATACATATATATACTATGGGCACGAGAACGGAAAGTCTTTAGTGATAAACCGCCTATTAGACAAATAAGACTCATAAATATTGAAGTATTTATTTGCTCAGCAAAGCTTAAAGGTTAAAGCTCCTCATAAATAAACCACCAGCCGTTCGGAGGTGGTCGCTCCATTTGGAAAAACATCAATTTTATTCAATAGCTCCTTATGCCAAACTTTGTCGCGCACTTGAGCTATATTAATATACATATATTTCATTGAAATACTCCTTGAACTCGAATGCCTTCCTAATTTCATTAGTGATTCGGTTGGCTTGTTCTACTATCAATCTACTATCTACGAAACCCGAATTTATGTGCTGGTATCAATCTATTACGATAAAAAAAAGAAGAATAATAAGGAATAATGTGCAATGACAGGGTAGTGGGCTTATTGGCGTAATTATTATTTACCTGACCATTCCCCATTGAATACTTTTTTGAAATTATAAAACAAACTGTCATTTGCCATTTTGGAAAGGGATGTCCATAGATACTCTGCACCCGACTTCAAAGAGAAGAAATTCCCTACCCAAATAATTGACTATGTTAATAAAAAGAACAGTCTATAGTTTATCAAAATATGACGATGAAGAGCAAGACATAATCGGACTCTAGATGACGATTGTAATCTGAAGAAGATGAGCGCTTTTTATAAGTCTACAAGTCTCAGCATGAATGAAGGGATTGACCATATTTGACTTAAGGTGATAAATTCAGCATAAACATGGGTTCACATTACGCAAATCTTTAAAAAATCCTTGAGAATAAGATACCCGCCTACACCTACTTACCGTCATTAAACGAAAATTTTCAAAATGTAAGCCTAGAGAAGACGCCTGCTGCAACAGGAATAGCAAAAACATCTACATGCTTTTCATCATCAACTAAGAATTCAGTCAAAATAAATTACAATATGAAATATTTTTCTAAACTTAGTAGCAGCCTGCGAGAGTATGAAGAAATTGTCATTGGCCATCAATTAATTAATTTTTGTTTCTTCATATTTTATAAGGAAGGGAAGCGGTTTTGAATGGGAGCAGAACGAAGTAATAAATACTCAGGGCGTCGACTTTTGACTTCTATAATATGGTGGAAAAATAACTTCATTATCATTTAATTATAAAAAAACATTTTTTACGACGAAAAGCCAATCAAGCTGCATAGGCTTGGAGCATTGAAGAGATACGTGAAGTTGTCATTAAAATTTTTTGAAGAAAGTTTCTATTAAAATATTGAATATTTCTGAATTCAAGCAGGCGCCTACGATAGATATTATAAGGAAGAGCTAAAAGGCACATGTCATGGCATTGTCCGAAGATAATTCCTCATATGATTCAGTACCCTATAGAGGAGAATACTACTAGAATACTAATTTACATTTTTACACCAACAAGTTCATCTTCCATCTATTTTCCATGTAATCAACTGGTATTTTTAATACAGCGGGCAATTGTCCTCCTATGCATCAGCTTCATACTAGTTGTATACTATTGTATAACTGGGTATGCTAAATTTCTACTTGACCAAAAAAGAAAAAAAAAACAAAAAAAAAAACACACAAAAAACAAATAAATTTAAAAAAAATAAAAGATAACTAAATTTACCGGCTGCGAGCATCGCACCGAAACCCACATGTACCACAGTGAAGACCTCTAACTACTAGGATATCGCTGTTTTGCTGAAAGTAAAGAAATCTACGCACTTCAACAAAACTTTTAAGGAAACGAAATTCAGCAGTGACGTACTAAACACAACATGAACAACGACATGGTGAAAATTTCTGGTTTACCAAAAAAAAAAAATTAATTAAAATGAAAAATGAATTTGCCTCTAGTGGGACTCTTACCAGTAGCCAAACGCGCTACAGCGATAACTTCTAACCAAAGGGGGTAATATGACGATATAAAGCTCATCGTCTGTTTTTCAATGGAATGGGGCAGAGCATGTCGGCATGCCGATAAAAAAACAACAAGTGGTGTTGAAAATTATTATTTCTCCTGTCACTGGTATGATTTCGTCTTGAAAATACCAGTATTTTACCAGAATTTTCGCATGCTGGTTGGTTTTTCATGCAGGGCATCTGCTGCCGGAAAAAAAATAATTCAAACCAAGCGTAATAGGACTTGGAAAAGTTACCAAAATATTCAAATACAGGGTGCTCCATCTTTAAAGTCGGTATTTAAAAGCTTCATAACTTTCACATTTACCAAACCGAGCGATTGTATCAGATATATTTTTTTAAGAAACATCAATTCAGTACAATTTTTGCTCGGGGCCGCTTCACACTGAAACAACGCGCTGAAATAGTGATACTTTCCATTGTGTTAACTCTACGTGCGTATCGGAAAAAATATCTCGACATAAAGGCACTATCTGGCAGATCACCTGATTTAACCCCCCGAACTTCTTTTTGTGTGGTTATCTCAAAAGCCAAGTTTCCGGCAAACCGGCCTCAAACTATTGATGAGCTCAAGGCAAAGATTCGTGCTGAAATCGACGCTATAACAACCGAGATGCTTGGATTGCTATTGAAGGTAGCCACTTGATTGATATTGTTTTCGAAAACTAGTCCAAAATAGTTGTAAGGAACATCACTTATAGGAGTCGGTCGTTTTTTCTCAAAGTTATGCATTGTCTACATACCGACATAAAAGAAAGTTCTCCCGAAAAAATTCTGCCAAATACTATGACCAACGCAACATCCCTGAACGCCTTTTTAAAAATTACTTTTACAGTTTTAATACCAATAACAATTACAACAAATGTACAAGAATCACTTCAGTACATTCAAAAACGTGGGTAAAGAAAGACCTGTCTGCATAAAGAATCAAAAACTGACACGGTATTGACTAAATGAGGTCTAGTCCAACTAAGAAGAAGAAGAATATGTCAAAAATTATGATTTTTAAATTTTACCATTTTGAAACTCATTCATATTCAAATTCAAAAATGTTTCTGAAGTTTAATCATGTCTGTCTGCGTTAATTATTCACTCAATTAAATTCTTCGAATTATCATACAAAACAGAGATTATATGGCAAACAAAAACAGATAATTAAATAAAAAATATTTTTTTTTCTCTGCTTCTTCTTTTCCTTTTTCACAAACATGCACAATGACAAACCCAAATAATAAATGACCACTTTTTTTCAACAAATTTAATTAAGCGAATTCAATGTGAGCCACAAAATGCACAAGGCCCGAGATGTGGGAAATGTGCAAAAAAAAAAATTAAATAAAAAAAAAATAAATAAATAAAAATAAAAAAATTGCAAAAAAAAATATTATAAATAAATAAAAATGAAACAAAAAAAAATTGCTGGCTACACGTGAAAGCTTAAGTGAATACTTAAGCGATTGGAAGATAAATCAAATGCGGATGCTGCAAAATGAGCTGCCAAGACAGGCCAAGACAAGCCAACCAACC